GGGACGCAGCGGGGGCCCCACCGTCTCTTCCCCTGACACGGTCGTCCTCGGCGGCTTTCTGGTCGATATTTCCATCATTTAGCTGACAATGGGGTCGTCCGTCGAGCGAGATATTGTTGAGGAACAAAAGAGCCGCCTGCCTCTTTCTGGAGTCCTTCACTTTTCTCCGGTGCGCTCGGTACGTCTTTGCTGGTTTACTGTTACTGCTGGCAGACTGCAGACCGCAGACAGCGGTCGCCATTCTAGTTTGAAATCTTGTCATTGAAAGCAAAAGGAAACGGGTGACTGGCCCCGCAGCGTTAGGCCCGCCCCTCTACGATGATTGGCTGATATTGTAATTATGCAAACCCAACTGTGTAAACACGTGTAGATGATTGGGCAAGAAACATAATATGCAAATATTTCTTGCTGCTCGAGGGTGATTGGGTTGATGGAAAATGTGGGCGGTGCGCTGGAAACAAAAGGAGTATTAAACATTCCCAATGTCAATATAATGGCATTTATGTAACTGAACAATTAGCACTCAGAGAACTATACCTTGGCCAAGGGCCCAGTCCATTTCCCCATAATACCATAAAAAGCTATATCCCTATGAGAGTTTGACCCTCATAACATAATTCCTTGACCATGAAACTCTACTGCTGGCATTGGGAATGGCGCTGATATCATTAGTAGTTTGAAGGTTTTTCAAGAAAAACAGGGGCTACAGTAGGTGGACCCTGGGAAATGCAGTGAAGACATCACAGTTCTGCAGGTTTGCTTTCTGCTTGTTCAACAGCTGTTTGATAAACTGCTCATATAGTCTGTTACTGGCTGATTGTTGCACTATGGTCCTTCATGTCCTCTGTTCTGCTGTGTCTGAACAAATTCTAAATTGGCATTAGACTGACCACATTATTCTCATTCTAAGTGGTTTTCTCATCGCCTAAAAAATGTCAAAACGTAATAAAATGGCATAATAGCAGTCCTACAGATGAAAATGTTAACAGCGAGCAAGGCTCCAAATCTCTGCCATCAGGCTCTCGCCCGGCTGTCGCTGCACAGAGTACATCTCTGCTTCTGGAACTGAAAAGCTGGAGTTTCTCTCATTTCACCTTAAGCAAACTTAACCTGCTCTCTGGATTGTCCCATGCAGCCTGCGTAGCCTACTTACAGATGCACACAAGTCACACTACTCATATTAGCTGCACTCACCCTCACTCCAGTGCTCAGCACGCTTCCCACAAGGGACCTTACATAGAATCAACAGCGCTCTCAGTGGTGAACTTTTAGAAAAAAATCCTGTATCCAAATTATGATTCCGTTTACAAAGAATTACAGTAACAGCATGCCTATCTATCCATCCATCCATTTCTCTCATATTGTCTCTCAGCATTTGTGTTTTGTTGTATTGTGTCGCATTTCTATGGAAGTACATAGTGTTTGAGGACGCTACTAAGTTTGCAACTCAGCATTTGAACACATACTGTATTTGTAAGCACCGAATTGGAATTGAGAGCGCAATCCCAGTAAGGCGTGCTCTTGTTTCTGTCTGCACTCTTAAATTTCTCCACTGGTTCTTACATGAAATTCTGTTGGTGTCAAAGGGTTTGAAAGTGCTCAAATCCAGTTTCAAGTGCTATTCAGTTAGCAAGTCAGAACTTGACAGGTGACAGACATGGATTTGTAAGAGGAAAATCAGATCAGAAAGCAAGGGAGGACAGAATGGTGAGTTGAGCTCTCAAATCTGATTCGACTCATAAATCTGTGACTGTGCACAGTCATATTCCAATTTGCAGACTAAATAGGCTCAAAACTGGTTTGTGCACCTTCGAAACATGGCGCCAACAAACTTTCACACAAAACCCAGTGGAGAAATCGAAGAGTGCAGACTCAGAATCGACTGGGATTAAAGTCTCAAATTTGATTTAGTGCTTACAAATATGTACCTTCACGCTCTGAAATGCTGAGCTGCAAACTGAGTAGCACTTGAAATGTGGTTATTGCGCTCTCAGCGTTATGGCAGTGATGTACTTCCATATGTTCCTCTGTGTAAAAAGGCACTAACATCAGAAGTCAGGTCAACACATTGCTCTTTATTGTAGCAACAACAACATAATAAAATTGTCTTCACCTTCTCGTTAATATTTTTTCTTGTTCTGAACAGCAACAGTCTGGCTTGACCAGTTTAAGGCGTTTTGATTCTATCTTTTTGTTTGTACTTGAGGTACAGCCCCATCTAACTCCTGCCACAACAAGCTCATTTTATGGTACACCAGGTGGCTGTTACGTGATGAACTTAAAGCGTTAGCACCATAATCGAAGCCTCTCTGGTTTTGTTTCTGCAGCCCAAGTAGTAAAGGTGATCTGTGGGCTATTTTTTATTTTAAAGCTGTCTGGGTAAAATGAGCAGAATGGACGGTGTTTACAACAAAACTCATTTCTCAGTGACGCCATTTCAAATTAAGTTAAATGCACAGGACTCCTGCCCCTGCACCCATACACATGCTGGTAGCCTAAATAAGCTCACGCACACAGACAGGCAAACACAGACAAGGTTTGGAAATTTCCCTCTTGTGACTATTTCTATGAAAAAACAAACTTCAGCCCCTTGAGGAAAATTGGTGATTTGTGATATTGGGCATTACAAATAAAAACTGACTTGACTTGAACCCTGGTTAAACAATGTATGTTTTATTTTACATCTACATAAATTAATAATTTCCTTTGAAGGGTCCTGGAAAGAACTTTGCAATTTTGCACTAAGTATAGGTCCATACAGACGATGCAAAATATGTACACTGCCATTCAATAGTTTTAGAGCACCTCCACTTTTCCACTTGTTAGACAGCACTGTTACAGAGGTTCCCACAGTTGCGTTGCACTTAAAAGGCAGCTTTACTTTTACTCTTCATTGGGAAAGTCCGGACACTGTGCTGCCCCTCCAGCCTTTGAAACCCACTGTCTTAATTTCTTCCACACAACCTTTTTTGGGTCATTATCCTCCCATAGGACGACACCCTGAAGGTCTGCCTTCTTTAATTGCTTTTTTCCAAATAATACTTCAGAGGGTGTAGTAACAGTCCTTTTCAGCACGGCCTTTGTACAGACAAAGTTTGTTATCGTAACTAATCAACAAACGTTGGGACACCTGGGAGCTTTTTTCAAGGCTTCATTCACTTCCCCTGCCGCAGAAAAGACAGAAGTTAACCTGTTACCTCATCGACAAAAAGGCCTGTTTTATATGAAATTTACATATATTTTCAGTTTTCTGTGACTTTTTCGATTTATCTCTGATAATTGACTCTTAGCTTTGTACCAGTTAAGGTTATTCACTGGACTCGAGCGGCTTAAATGGAGAAATGGAGATGATGACAAACTTTTGAACAATAGTGTAAACTACCAAAAAAAAGAAAAACTATTCTGCAGCTGCAATAAATTGTCATTTTTGAATAATCATTTAGCCTATGAAACAAAGTTTTAACCGAGCCAAATGTAATAGCAAATTATCTCCTGTTGAGAAAATGAAATCTGAAGATATGTGGCTTTTTTTTTTTTACTAAACAAATTACAATTAACTGACGATCAAATTAAATAATCAACAAATCAGTTCAGCTTTATTTTCAGTTAAATGGCACATTAGTTTAACCTGGACTGTCTGTCAGTAGACAGCAGGTCAACTGAACATGAAAAAACACAGCTGATGAATAAAGTCTCCAATAATCAGTGAATGATGAATAAACCTCAAATGGAGCCGTTCTTTCACAGGACGTCCTAAGGAAATCAACTGTTTTTAGCGCCGTTTGTTTCTATTTATCCTAAAATTCATACCAAATTACTTCTGTTTTTTTTAGGAAAGTTTTGAGGAAAC